AGTCACTCTGTTGATAAAATTGCCTACCTGGTGAGTACCACTATTCTATGAACAAGTTAGTAGTACTATGAAAATTCTGTCTTTGCTAATTATTTCTCTCATTGATTGAGAATGTATATCTTTTACCATGTGGCCCACGCAAAATAACTTACCTTCAGTCAAAGAGGCACTAAACAATTCTCAGACAGGTATTAACCACACTGGAGCTGACCTATGGGGAGACCACTATCAGACCTCACAGCAACTTGAATTCTGACCATGACTTAAAAACGGAGTATGAGAGAAAAAGTACCTCTCTGCAGCAATTCCTGGCCACATTATTAAATGAAGAAAAGGCAATAACCATACAGGATGTGTATTCCTCTTCCTATTTTGTCCAAGTTGCTTACCATAGAAACTGAGCACAAGATCTGTGCCACAGTAGCAGATAAATGTGAAGGCAAGAAATGCACCATTTAAATATATATTAGTACATTCTACCGGTAATGAGAAATAAACAATAGTTTGATTTCTGAACAATGCCTACAAGGATGCTTCTAGTGACCATCTCAGTATTGCTGAAGCATGCTTGGCATTTTGCAAAATCTGAATCTGTTCTCATCCCAGCTCATTTCCAGTCTCTGAGGGGATCAAATGCAGATGAGAACAGGAGAGAGAAAATGCACAAGCCTAACATTTACTAAATATATGCAAAAATGAAAGCAGAGATTATCAACTGCCCAAAAGTTGTGTCTGCTGAAAAAAAAAAAACCCTGTCTAGATAGGTGTCATGGTTTCACTCCAGCCAGTGACCAAGCTCCACAAAGCGACTCACTGACTCCCACAACCAGCAGGAGCAGAGAACAAATTTGAAATGTAAAAGCTGGAAAACTCATGGGCTGAGATAAAGACAGTTTAATAGGGAAAGCCAAAACCGCACATACAAGCAAAGCAAAACAAGAGATTAATTCAGTGCTTTCCACAGGCAGGCAGGTGTTCAGCCATCTCCAGGACAGCAAGGCTCCGTAACATTTAACAGTGACTTGGAAAGACAAATATCATTGCTTCAAATGTCCCTCCTTCTTCCTCCTCCCCCTCCACCCGCCCTTTATATACTGATCATTTATATACTGATCATGTGGTCTGGAATGTCCTTTTGGTCAGTTGTGGTCACTTGTCCCAGGTGTATCTCCTCCCAACCCTCCCAGGCATCCCCAGTCCCATTACCAGCAAGGCAGCACAAAAAGCAGAAAAGGCCTTGGCCCTGCTCAGCAATAATAAAAACATCTCTATATTAGCAGCCCTAATCCAAAATGCAGCCCCATGCCAGCCACTGTGAAGACAATTAATTCTACCCAGGCTGAACCAGCACAACAGGAATGGATTGAAGACAGGATACTGACTTTTAGTACGATCAGCCCTAAAAATAGCAATTGGCACTATCTTTCCCTGTTCTGAAGGGAAGATACTTATATCTCAGGTGAGATACCTATTCTTACAGGCATCTAAAACCCCAAATTAGGAGCCTGCTGTCAGAAAAGCAGCAATATAGAAAAGAAGGGAGAGCCTGGGCTGTGATATGACATGCAGCATGTAGATTCTCTTTAATTATCTTTCTACAAATTAGTACCTCTGTCTCTCATAACTCCTTAATGTAACCACATTCACTGGACTCTAATTTAAGGTGTGTGGCTGCTTTTCTGTATGACATTTCTTCCAAGATAAGAAAAAGGGTTGTAGAAGGGAGTTGTAGCACACTGTGAAAAAAAAAAGAAAAAAAAAAAAAAAGAAAAAAAGTCTTTCTTATACTATTTCCTGGCAGTAGTGGTATTATTAATAAGAATAATAATGGTAATCATTATAGAAGATATGTGTACCTTTATTTATTTCCCCTGAAATCTACTATAGTTTTCTCAGACCTGTCAACATAACATTCAAAGAGCCCTTTCAATTACTGAATTATTTTCTATTAATTTAGAAGCAATGTACTTTTCAAAGAAATTATCTATTATTTATATATAAAAGGCAAAGAAACATCTAACCACAACATCTCTACAAATCTTACAGCTGAACTGTTAGGCTGTAAACAGTCATATTAATGTGCTTATTCTACAACAAAGCATTTAAAGATAGCACAGCAACAGCAATGATAGATGCTAAACTGTTTTAATAAAAACACAAATCCAAACCATTCATGAAAAAATCTTAGACATGTAAGGGAATTTCCCCTACTTTTAAGCATCACCAAAATATCTGGTGTGTGACTCAAGTATAGTTCACTGCCTGCCTACCCCAGATTCCTACTGTCGAGACAAAAATCTCTGATATTTATTGACTCCTGCTATAATATACTACATATATAATAGGCAACAATCAATATTTGCCTCACAATGATGGGACAGGAACTTCAGTCCCATTTTGTAGGAAGAAAAAAAGTAGAAGCCTATAAATCTTATCAGCACCTAAGACCCAGTGTGAAAGGTTTTTTGTTGCTGCTATTAGCCTAAGTTTTGGCCCTTTCTAATATATCCTGCTCAACAAAAACCCAAGGTTAAGGGCATTTATTGAAACTCTTAATTTTCATTAACAAGAAGAAACTGAGGCAATTCCTTGGAGTCTGACCAAATAAGATGACTCTAAAACAGTTCCTGGAAAAATCCTGGATATAGCAGTACATTGTGAGAGGGAAAGCCTGCCCCTAAAACTTCCATTTGTTCTCTTTTCTTCTTTTAAGCAATAAATATAAAAACTTGAACAGGAAAGCCTGGAAGAGGCCTCCAAACTTCATCTGGTTCATCCCTTGGCCTGATATTTCTGTACTGCTTCAGACAGATAGCTTTCCAATATCTTACAGGATTTTTAGAAGTTCTTACAGATTTTCAAGAAAGCTTCGGTCAGGCTTTGCTATTCTTACTAGTTTTCCTTGAGTCCTAATTGAACCAACCTTTGTAGTAGCTTTAAATAATTACATTTTGCTTTATCAATACAGGAAGTTCCAATTGGAGCTCTAACCCAGCTCAAGCAGCTTTACGACTACTACTTTACTACTACTGCTACTGCTACTACGAGTACTATTGTTGTTGTTGACACAGGGACCAAAACTAACAACAGACTGTTCATCTTGCAAGACCACATCTAGCAGACAAGATTTATACATCCCAGTGGATTTGCATTTTTTTGCAACAGCAGCTTGACTCATCCAATTTGCATCCACTGTAACCTGTGAATCCTTTTCTACAGATGAATTTGTCCTTCCTCTTGTATTTATGCAGCTAATTATACATGCCTAAGAGTAAAATTTCCAGAATTGAATTGTATCTCACTTTTTCTCTTAGCTCATTTCTTATTCTAATTCTCTCCTCCAAGGTCTTCCCACCTTGATGTCATCTACAGATTTAATAAACAAACTTTTCATTCCATTAGCCATGTAATGAACTAAAACATTCAGCAAGTTAAACCACAAGACAGGAACAAAACAAACCCCCAAAGCAATGCAAGCACAGTGTTCCATCTTGAAAACAAAACTACTGTCAGCACAATTTTTCAGTGTTTACACCTGCAATATAGTAGTTTTATCCAGAATGTTAATCTGCAGCTTAATTTTAAACATCATTCAAGTCAACATCAGAAGCTTGAATATCTATGTTTCTCTCTTTCCCCAGAATATCTGTCACTTAAATAGAAAGATATTAGACTGATTTGATGCACATTGTTTCCAACAACTCTTCATGATGATTCCATTGCAGCTCATTAATATTTTGCAAATAGCTATATTATAATTTCTGTTTGTTTTCTTGCTTGTTTATTTTACCAGGAATTGAAACGACATTAATTTTTTTCCCACAGGCTTTTTCTTCATGCCTTCTGAAAACAGAAATTTTATTTGTCCTTTTCCAAACTTCTAAAACCCCAAGTACTATTCATGAGATTTCAAAGGTAACCTTTCACTTTTTGGGACTTGCTTCATCTTGCACTCTAAGGAGCTTTGGATAAATGTTAGATACTTTTGAATTGAATGAATCAGTCTTCTGAATACTCTCTGACCTGTACTTTCTTTAAGTCTGCAAAATACTTCTGGTTATCATTCTTTTTTGTTAACTGTATTAACAATCTGAGCAATATCTTTTTTTGGTGAAAAGTAAACTCCAGGAACTCCAGAATTTTAGACTTCATCATATTTGATAGTTTTTTCTCTGTTTTGAACAGTGACAATTTTTTCCTTGACTGTCTTCTTACTAATATCATAATCTCCTGTTATTCTTTACAGTTTATGGAATATGCATCTTGATTTATTTATTTTGTCTTTTTGACTTCTTCCTTTCAGGCAAACTTTATTGTTTTATACTTATGTTTAGCAACTTGATCTGTTTTCTGAATCTACACAATCCTTTTCCTGCTCAAGGTCATCAAAGTATTCAGGAGTTGGACATACTTGCTTTTTTACTCTTTAGCCTCCCTCTACCTTCAATTGTAGCCTCAGAGTAACTTCTTTAAAGGTCTGCTGTCTCTCTTGAGAAACATTTTCCTGAGACTTATTTTCTATGACGTCTTATCAGTCAGTTTTCTGAGCTGACTCTGTTCTCCTTGCCTTACTTCTGTAAGTTGCTTCAGGTTGTTTGTACAGGAGGGCATCATAAATCACCAATAAATGTAGACTTGAAATTTTATCTTCGTTATAAGGCATTGCCTGTGATAAATGTGGCACTTTTTGTTTCTTTTTTTACATGTTTTCTGATTTTGGGTTTGGTGAGGGATTCGGTGGGTTGTTGGTTTGTTGTTGTTTTTTTATTATTCTTTTTATGCTACATAAAAAAAAAAAAAAAGAAAAAGAAAAAAAAACCAAACAGAAATGGTTATAAGCAGAGCAACAGCAGGATGAGGGATCATTTTGGTGGGCAGAAACAAGCACCCTCAGTCTCTCTATTTACCCACCTTCACAGAAGGTCAAGGAACAGATAGGAGAGGTATAAAAGCAAACTTTAAACATATCGAGGCAACGATAGCACATTAGCAGTCGCAGCTGGAAATGAGCTCGTGCAATCAAACACATCCCCTCGGACAAGTCTGCGGCACAGGCAGCTCTCGGGGAGTCTGCACCAGCCTCTTTCACAACACCATCCATACAGCTACATGACAGAGCAGGCAAACACCTCCAGCCAGCACGGGCTTTTGGTACAGGCACACAGAAATCCACCCCAGGAATTCTGCAGCATTTCAAGGTCAGTCTCGGTGGCAAGGGCAAGAGATTTCTGCAGCAAAGGCTCGTCAGTGCTGCGGTAGTAGCGCGGTGCCATCTGCAGCCCCGCACCCCCAGTCCCCTGTCAGCTGCTGCCGAGCCGGAGGAGCCAGGGATTTCGTAATTCCACGGTCACACACGCGCTGCCCGATCTATTTAATCCTCTCCCTGCGCTGTGCTACTGAAGCAGTGACAAAACAACCCAAACGCACGGAGCTCGATGTGAAACGTCAGGAGAGCTGGCAGCAGAGGTGAGGTGAGGTCTCGCCAGCCCGGACAGGACGGATGGATGGGCAGCGGGAGGGAGCGGTGCCATATGCTGCTCCCTCACAGGGCCAGTCCCATTGACGTGGCAGAGCTGCTGAAGCCACAGCTGACACCAGTTTGTGGGGCCTACCTAGTCACGCCCAGGCTGCCAGGCTCAGGCTCCAGTGGTGATGTTTCTCCTCTCTCTTAGCCTCTAAATTATCAGGCTAGCCCAGAGATACGAGGCCTTGAGGGGAGGAACATCAGGATATGGGCAAAGATTTCCAAAAGAGGCTCTCACCCCGATGTATTTGGCCAGCTCTTTAATGTATGGTCCGAGAGGAAGAGTGGGGAAAAGAGGGTGAACAGGAAGGGTCATCGCCTTTTCTAGGCTCTGGACAGGGAGGGCTTCTCTGGCTCTCCACCAGCCCTGTTGAGGCATGAAGGAGACCAGGCTTATCTGATCAGAGTCACAGGGGTCCCGGGGAATAGGGGAAAACATGGCCTGAGCGCACTGTAACACCGTGGCACCACAACCGAGGGAGGGAAAAGAGTACCAGCACAGCCAGGCTGTCGACTCTCCTTCCCATTTCTGGCATTTCAAAGGGATTTGTTCTGCTCCAATCTCCTCACTCATGTCTCTAAGCCCTCAAGCAGGCACAGGCTATCTACCTTTATTTCTAGACTGACATGCCATGCTGGAGCTGGGAATGTTGCCCGCTCCTTTGCAGACCCTGCAGAGCACAAGCAGCAGCACGTAGGTTTTGCAAAGCTTTAACCCAGAGCACATCCACTCCAGGCTCACAAAGGTGACAGCTCTCCCACAGTTTGCCACAAGCTGGTCATGTGAAAATTAGAAGTGGAGGTACAAGGTATTCAAAACCATAGCCAAGCTCAAGTTTCCTTAAGATTTGGATGGATACAGAGGGACGTAGAAGAGGGGTGGGAAGTTTGTCACATGGACAGTTATGAGACAAAAAGAAACAGTTCACATCTGGCTTGAACCAGCAAAAAGGCCCAAATTTTCCCATCCTCAGTATATTGTCCAAAGACAGAGAGTCTGTCTAGCTAGCTGGGAGGAGTTCACTGCATCATTCACTGTTTACTGCAATTTCAATGCTTTTGCACTTTCATCAGCCTGGCAACATTCAAAAATCTCTTAACTGGCCACAACACAAGCATGAAGTGCAGAAGTATAAGCAAGGGGGAGTGGAAGCCTTGCAGCTTCACAGTAAGTTCTTCTGCCTTCAGAGCATTGCCTTAGAATTGGCTGGGACTTTAATTGTGGGCAGATATTTCTACTTTCACTGCACAGCCAGTTTGTTCCAGCTTAGCCACTAAATACATGAATCTTTACAGCATTATTCCACTCTCCAGCACAAGCACCTTTGCCTTACAAGCCACTTGGTTTGTCACTGCTATACAGAAAGAAAACAAGGAAATTTTTCTTTTAATAAGAAGCCTTAAATATTACAAATTGGATACCATTCAGGACAGAACTTTCAAAAAATTCATCTCTAATGTAAGACAAGACCTGAGCCAAATGAACACGTTTTTACATATCCAAGATTTTCTTCAATTACTGAATATTATTCTTTTTTTTTTCTTTGAAACATGATGACAGTTCCTGAAATAGCATTTACTGGTAGTAAATTCTCCTAAATTATCATACCAGCTATTGCAACTGATCAATTTAATTTTGACTGATACATTAAAGTGATTATAGAAGGACCAGGCTCCTGAATATAATTGAATTTCAATAGAACCATGGCACTTAGTTCCTTTCAATATGTAGAAGATTCCAGACTTTAAGACTAATTATTAAAGCTGCTTTAAAAAAATGCTACAAAAAATTTCCAAATTATTCTACTTTTCACTTCAGAAAGTACTCTCAAATTTACATCATTTTCCACCACAAAAAAAGATGACATTCCAAAAAGAAATCATAAGAAACCAGAGAAAAATTTTATTGAATATGATTCACAAAACATTTGTTTAGCAAAACACATACAGGACACCAATTTTCACATTTTTGATTAAAAATTCTCACCCACTAATGAAAAATTAACAGATACCTGATCTAAATTAATTTAAAGGTAGGATTAAATATTTAATAATTATCATAACCTACTGTTAGAGGGTTGTAGAAATTTCAGAGCTTTCTTTTTTCTATCAGATGAGCTGAGGTAGATTAATGTGGGGTTTTTTGGTACTTAAGAAAATTGAAAATAATTAATCTGTAATGGCATTGATGGAAAAAGTGTTCAAAATGTCAATAAAAGTGCTGCTTTAACAGTACTTCAAATAGTCTACTTACGCAACTTAAGAGACGCATTATCTGCCAGACTACACACTCTTCCATTAAAATCTATGAAAATCTGCAGGTGTTTAATTACCTGCTCTCCCATTGTTCCTTGGCTGCACCAGGAGTAGTTTGAACACTATGTAAAAATTAATGTACAATTTAACATAACAGTTATGCAGGTTAAAATTTTCCCTAGTTTCTATTTTGTATGAAGAGTCTCAGACAAATAAACCATAAGTTGCTTTTCACCAGAAAGAGTTGTTTTAGTATTTTCACTAATTTCAAAATATTTTGGACTTACAGAAAGAGTTAAGCATCACTATTATAATTATCAACATAAGACCATAAAATACCTGGGGAAGTACTAGAAGGAAAATTACATCTCATGAGAACAGTTTAAATACATGCTCCTTTTTCCCAAAGCAAGAGGCTGTTCAATAAATTCTTGTTCAGGAGTTCATTTGAGTTTTCACAGAGCTGAAGCAGGACTGAAATTGGAAGGGATTTCTGGGGGCATTTGGTTCCAATCCTGTGCTTGAGCAGGTCCACATTGCTTAGGTTTATGTCCAGACAACTTCTGAATATTTCCCTAAATGAAGAACCCACAACCCCTCTTGGCAATCTGTGTCAGGGCTTCATCACTCCCACAATGAAAAAGTATTTCCTGATGTTTAGAGGGAACCTCCCACGTTTCAGTCTGGGCCCATTGCCTCTGGTCCTGGCACAGAGCAGCAGAAAAAGAGCCTGGCTCCATCCTCTTTGCACCTTCACTTCAGATGAGATCTGCCTGAGCCTTCTTCAGGCTGAGTATCCATCACTCTCTCAGCCTTTTCTCATGTGAGAGATCTCTTCTCCATCCTTTGGTCCTTTGTTAATTCTCTCTGGTATGTTCAAGTCTCTCTTGTACTGGGGGAGCCCAGATGTGGGCCTGGCCTTCCTGATCACCAGCAGTGAGCACAGGGCAGAATCATCTCCCCGATCTGCTGGCATTTCTTGGCCTAATGCAGCCCAGGATATCATTCACTTTCTTTGCAGCAAGGGTGCTTTCCTGACTCACATTCAGCCTGGTGCCCATCAAGACCATGCCAAGCTGCTTCCTAGCTGGGTGGCCTCCAGCATGTACCATGCATGAAGTTGTTCTTCCCAACATGCAGGAGTTTGTACTTCCACTTGTTGAACTTCACAAGGCTCCTGTTGGCCCATTTCTCCAGCCTGTTGAGGTTCCTCTGGATGTCATCAGTTTGGTGTCAGCAAATTTGCTGAGGGTGGACTCTGTCCCACTATCCAGACAATAAAAGAAAATGTTAAATGGGACTGCACCCATTATTGAAACCTGGGCATCACCTCTACCCACTGGCCTCCAACTAGACATTGCACTGCTGATCACCCCCCTCTGGGCCCAGATGTTCGGCCAGTTTTCAATCCACCTCACCATCCACTCATCCAGGCCATGCAGCAACAGCTTCTCTATGAGGACCTTACAGGAGATGGTGTCAAAGGCCTCACTGAAGTACAGGTAGACATGCTGCCCTGCCCACCCTTCATCAGACTAGTTGCTCCATCACAGAAGTTTATCAAGTTGATCAAGTCAGAAGTCAGCCATGCTGACTACTCCTGATGATTTTCTGATACTTAATGTGCCTGGAAATGGTTTCCAGGATTAGCTTGTCCATCATCTTCCCAGGACCAAGGTGAAATTCTGTCTGTAGTTCCCTGGATCTTCCTTTTTGGAACAAGCACCTTGCAGTGCTTCTAAATCTTTTCTGTTAGTGTTTCATCAATGTCAGAAGGACTCACAGTTTGATGATTTTGGCCAAGGGCATCTAGTATCTTGGGTCTGAACAACGTACAAAGAAGGTCAAGAAATCTGGGATTTCTTTTGGCATTTTTCCAGGATCCAACCAGCTTTTTTGGCAAGCCTCTTGTTTTTCTGTTTCATGCTTCATCCTTTTAAGGCAGGCCCACAAAAGGCAGTCAGTATTTAGATGTGTAGTTCCTTAAATCTGAATCAAATATGCACATATACTCAAGGATTACGAAGGGCATTGCACTACATCTTCATGAATCTGCCCATTGCATGGACTTTAGTACCATGCTTCACCCACCACCAACAGTCCAGGACCCACTTCTGGGACCAGGCATCTGCTTTCTTTCATAACAGAATACACCTCTTTATTTCTAACACACTGTAGGGTGAGAAAGCAGGAAAGGAAACAAGCCATATTTTGTGGAACTGCTCAGTTGCATACACTCTGCAGGCTTATGTGTTAAATTCAAAGCATCACTCTCCAAGCCAACAGGAGTTGAGGTATCCTCCACCCTTGTCATAGAAACTATCCTACACTACAAAAGGAGAATTAATTAGCAATGGAACAAAGGAAAGAGGAAGTGTGGATAAACAACATGGAATAAGTCTCCAGGATGCACCTGGACCACTTCAAGGATAGTAGTTTTAGGTCTCACTCACTGGTCCCTTTTAAACATTTTTTTATCTAACCAAAGCACTCCAGGATCTTGCCATCTCTCTTGAGATTAGCACAAGCTATCTATTTGCCTCTCAAGTGAACCAGATGCGATGCCTGTCTGAAGGGACACAGCTCATTTCTGTCACCCCAGGTCCTTGATGCAACACTGAAGAACCATGTTATGTTCACGTGCCATGGTGCTACACACTGGTTCCTCAGCATCTTGCAACCCCAGTCCCAAAGTTTATATTCTTCCTGAACCTGGCAAGACAGAGACTATCATACCACTGTATCTGTATTGCAGACAGACAGGCAGGTCCCTGGACAATCTGTATTTTTTGCAATCCTTTGTGAAAACAGCTCATTGCTTTCAAAGGTATCCTGGAATATATTTTACTGTATTGTTGTTTCTTTAGATAAAAGGGCATAATTAGACCTTTAACTTGGCAGATGTCCCTTATATGGGAATTACTGTCCAGCTCTCAAGGTGGCCATCAGAGGTAACTCATGCCCTAATCTGTTGTGAAAATGTGAGATGGATGAGATGGCTTTGTTATCCATGAAGGCTGTCTGATCAAAGTACTATTTTCCCTGCATAGAGAGCACAACATGTCCTATCAACACCATTACAGTTAGTGATGCTAACTTTAGTTTTATGCAAGTTATTTATAGCTTTCCACATAACCATTTAGGAACTGTAGAACTCCTACTTTCCTCAATTCAAGGCAAATTTAATCTTTTTCTATGCTCCAGTCTTCTTTGCTTTACACTTGAAGCTCCAGTCTTCTTTGCTTTACACTTGAAGCTGTGTGGTCCTGTTCGCAGGGCATTGCACCCCAAGTAAGATGCTCTAAAAGAAACACTCCCAAAGGCAATCCAGACATTTCCTAGTTTTGGTGACAACAAGATTTTGATTAAACCCCTTGACATAGAAGTAGCACAGTCTTTGTTGTTCAGAACTAAATGTCACTCTCAGTCCTGAAAAGTGCTAGTCCCAGGTTTCCCCACAGTATGTGTGATAGCATGTGGATGCTGTGTGAGGCAGTAGTGAAAGGCTCACCAAGGGAATTTCCTCCCTCTTTATACCTGCTGCTGTTCACCACCAACCCTGACCAGCTGAAAAGACATCATTTCATAGAAGACTTACAGATTTTTGCTGATTTTGCAGAAACAAATTGCCTTATGTAATTTCAATATTTTCACGAAGCTAAAAATACCAAAATAGGGAGTGGAAGGGAAGTGATGCGGTAATCATGTTGAACACTTTAAATATATAGAATAGAACTAAGAGAGCAATACTTGTATTTAGTAGCTGGAAGAACCTTTCGGAGCATGAGAAAGAAAGAGACAAAGATTTAAATTCAATTCTTTTCTTTTCCTATTATGCAGGACTGCAGCATCAACAACCAGCAATTGAGAGAAGAGATACATCATTAAACTTATTTATAGCATTAACTACTTTGCATTCATCCACACAAGTGAAACTGTAAAAAGAAGAAAAAATTATAAAGGCAGTGTGTGGTTCTTTCATTAGCTTGTCTGTAATGTTGGATTGGTCCATAAATTAATGTGTAAAAAAGGATGGGGAAAAAAAAGAATTCAAAGCTTTGCCATTGTAATTATAGCTCTTTAAATATCAAAAGACACAAAGAAAGATTTCTTTTGAAAAGAGTACCGATTCTCTTGGCAAGCCACTATTAAATACTTGCATAAATCTACGGTCTGTTTCCTGCAAGTTGAGGTGACATTGCTATCATGGCTTATAGGTCTCTTCACATGACTATTGGTGCACTTCAGTATTATTTATATTTATATATATACATTATCAGGACACTGATGAGATAAGATACCTTCTTTCTGTCATGAGTGAAGGGCTAGTAAGTAGCAACCGAGAAACCTTGCAAGTAAAAGGGCCTTGATGAAAGATTACCTAATTGATTTGGGCTGTTCCAGACACAAACTCTGGAAGTCTCTTTGGTACAACTCAGACATGCAGGTGCAGTTTCATCACAGGTTTACCAGTAGCTCCTCCACAGTGTGCACTACATGCAAATACCATGCCACAGCAGCAAGAAATCTGCATCCCTCTATCTTCAAGTTCAAACAGTATTTGAGCCCAGAGAGCCACTAAAATTAACAAAATATAGTAGCCAAACATCTTCTAATATGCAGAGCAGAGTGTATTGTTGGGCTCTGCAATTTCTAAATTAAATGCCACAAAGCTCAGATCTCACCCTCAATTCATTCCCTCACAGGCAACCTTTCCTCACAGTCTCCCAGCAAGTCTTTTGAGGGGTGCCACAGAGAACAGATCTCATTCTTGATACTTGCCAGGATAAATCAATGTCTTTTGTTCCTTTACAGATTGCAAGTTTCCTCAGGTCCAGTCTCAGAGCAGTAGCCCCAGATATTTTCCAAAATGGCCAAATCTCACACTGCATGGGGTCTAATCCTGAAATAAATCAGACGCAGGCTTTTGATGAAGTCGAACCACTGCTCCCAAAAGGTTGAGATCAATACCTTTGTGAGCAGATGCAGCCCCTGTGGGTTTTTCAAGGGGCTGGTTGTTTCCTCAAGCTGCACAGAAGTTGCCCTGTTAATGCTCAATAGTCATAGACAGAGTCTATGTGGAGTGCAGCATCATTAAGCCTTGGTAATGGCACAGCCTCTCTTCTAAATGGACACTTTCAAACAAAATCCAAGACACAGCTCATCAAATACACAAAGGAATGAGAGAGTTCTTTGGTTAAATGTGGGAATCCAGGGCTTCCCTCTGTCTGCCCTGGAGGGCCTGGGACCCTGGCAGGGGGTCAGGAACCCCCCTGTACAGAGCCCCAAGAGACACTGTCTCTGATCTCTGTCCATGGAAAAGAGTTTTCAATCTTACAGGATGAATTACAAGCTCTGAGTGTTTGATAAGAGTAATAATTAAGTGTGACACGGGTGCAAAAGTAAAATTTTAGGTTTCTAGATTAGGGGTTCAGAGGGGACAAGATGGAGGAAATTGGGTGTGTCTTGTCCTTTTTCTCCTTCTTCATGCCCTCATGTTTCACTGTAGTGTTGGCATTTTTCTATTGGTTTAGGCTGGGGACACACTGTTCAACATAGATGATAGATATTGGCACATTATTGTAAATATAGCACACGTAGTTTCTGGTATATAATGTTTGTAACATCCCACTGGTGGCAGAGCCCCACACGCTGCCCTGCAGGACAGACCTGCGGCAGGGCAGCAGAACATGTTAGAGATAAGCAAGAATAAACAACCTTGAAAACAGCACAGATGAACCATGGCTTCTTCTTTGGCAACGGGGCAGAAATACAGAGACTTTTTACAATCTCGGAATCATCAATACCCACAGATTCCGACAGTTAAACACAGCAACTTTTCTCCACATGCTAGAAATATAAGTCAATGCCCAGAAATGGGCACTTGCAGGACATATTTTTTAGGCCAGGGAACCTGGGTTCTTTCCTCTTTCTGGTCCTCAAGCACACAGTCAGAGGCACTATCCTTTCTTACTTCCAGGTATTAACTTTATTTTAAAGGATAATCCAGCTGAAAAGAAGCAGGGTGGCTTTGTTGGTCCCCTAATGGCAATGAACTGGATTACAGGAGGGGAATACAGGAATGGACCATCTCAGACTTCATAACTGGGACATAACAGAAATGTAGAGCCCAGAGGCAGCATGGGGCACACCACAGAGCTTCTTCCCATAGCTCCTACTGAGCAACTGGGTGAAACAGCTGATTTCTGAGTGTAATACATTTTCAAAGCCAGCTACACGGTTTGGGTAGTCTCTCTTTGGGTAGCAGTTTCATATTTGAAGGAAATTTGATTTAAGATTCATAAGGAAAAAATGAAGTTGCCACCACAGATGCCCTAACTATCCAAAATACACAGTACTTTTTCCATGGACTTGCCTAATTGCAATGAAGAAGAAATTCAAGAGCAGACCCTAGAGGTACAGTGTACTGCCTTCTAAGAGTGACTTGACATCATTTAGCACAACCTATGTGCATTCTTCTTCCTGAGCTAACAAGCCAATTAATTATCAAATGCAACAGGTTTTGGCCTAAAGCCAAATTACAGTGGTGTTATTTGTCTTTGCTTTGTAGCAAAATCAAGAGTCCTGCCTGGATTACATTCTTTGAACTCTTCAGTTCAAGGATAATGTGCTGTACAACTCTGAGTAGGTGCTGACACTTACACACACATCATAACAATGGGCACTATAATAGCAATAATCATCCACATTTCTAAAGTATTTTTCATTTTAAGTGTTCAGAATCTCTTGGTAAAACATGTGACCTCAAACAAACACTTTTCTTTTGCATCTACCCATGTGAAGATAGACTGTGTATTATTAATACATAAAGTTTATCTGGAGGAGCTGATCCACAGCTTGCCCCTGCTCTCAGTACTGCCCCTATTTCTGACTGCCTACACCTTTTTTTTTTTTTTTTTTTTTTTCAGATTCTCCCTATAGATTAATTGCTCAGAAATGTAATTTCAAGGAACAGTATTTTTACAAAATGGATGAAGGATGTTTACCTGAAAAATATTTTGTTTCAATGAAGATATGTTAAACTAGAATCATACACTAAAAAGCAGCTCTGCTGGGTCTACAATATACATTTTAAAACTAAAGATGCACAGAAAAAAAATCATTAAGCTCTGAAGCAGAGACATAATTTCAAGAAAGATGGTGATCCCCTAAAGATTTTCCCCAATTAGGCTGCACCTCTACCACAACACTTTAAGGTCTTCCTCCTGAGATATCTTCACTTTCCACCACATTTCATCACCCAACACTGTTGTGCCACCCCCTGGAGTCACTCTCTGAATTGCTGAGCAGGCTGGAGAAGCTGCCATGGGCCTCCCAAGACATCAATGCAGCCTGCATGGCTCAGTGATGCGAGTGAGAGCTGCAGCCAGCCAGGCAAACGCTCAGTTCAGAAACTGGGAGGGCTCAGTCTGAATCCCACCCAGCATTATTTACTATAAAGCATCATATTTAAGCTAGCAGAATCAAAGGCTCATCTCATCAGATTTCTGTATAATGTGAAACAATGAGAATTCACCCTGTGACTTCTGTGGTGCTGTTGCTGCTTCTGATAAAATATTATACAAGCACATTAAGGAAACCAATAGAAAACACCTGAGATGTCTATCTACGTTAAAGTTTTATTACTTCTGGGATCTCAAAAGGCTTAGGAAACATCACTGAACATTGTTTCATACATACTCATGAAAGGGTAACGTAATAAAACCAGGTCAAACAACACTGAATATTAAATTTAATATAAAGTATGCAAAAGAATGAAATACAGGAGGTGTTGGAAGAATTATTAAAAAATAAGGAACTGTACTTGTGATTGGGGGGAGTGGTGAGGATTTTCTGGGGTAGTTTGACAGGTTTTTATCTGGCACGCAAAATTATTTTACATCCATAGAAAGATGCAATTAATTTTTACTTTTTTTTCTGACTAAATTTGGAGCAGCTGAGAGGTTGGTTATTTCTATCTTTAAAAATGGACTTATAATGTTGCCATCTGTTGGCATATGACAGATATAGCATCTCACAATTCCAGACAGAGTCACAAAAATGCAGAAAATTAAAGGGACAGATGTGCGAAATACATGCTCTCATTTGATTCCAGTGTTCACATCTGTTCTGCTCAAAGATTTTTCAATCATATAAATCTATCCACAGAAGTTAGTACCTTGAAATGTTATGGCATTTCTGGTAATCATAAAAATCATATTCAAGTAGAGTTTACTGCATTCCAAAACATCACTGGATTCATAAAAATCTGTTTTCCATCAAGAAGACACAATGTACATAGCAACACTACCTGTCTGCTTAAGTTCCCTCTCCTTCACAAACCATGAGCATATCTCACACAGCCGTAACATCATTGCAAGAACACAATTCCAACAGGCGTCTGCAGGTACCATGCACAACACCTAGAAAGGAAATTGGCAGCTCTTTCTGATGGTGCCCTGTCCCTGTGGGATCCTGGAGAGTGTGATCTCTGCTGGTGTGAGGGCTCTTCTTGTCACTGAAATGGTTGCCTACCATTGCAAGCACGTCTGTCTTCATTTGCAGTGTCACCCATTTCTTTTCACCATGCTTTTGACAGGTTGCTTGCTAATGCTCCCAACAACAACCAAGATTTTTCCCTCTGCCTGCTTCCCTGTCCCAGCTCCTCTAGTCACATAGCTCTGTCTCCCTCACTGATTTGGGTAGTGTAAGACCTCACTCCTCCTCACAGACAGAGATAAAATAACCACAAAACCAGTCACACAGATTATTACTCTTCCCTCTACTACCTCCTTTTCTACACCTGTTAGCCATTTTCCTTTGGATTTGAACTTTGCATATCATTTCCATTGAAGAAGACTGAAAAAGTGCAATCCCTCCCCTCCCTCCCCACACCCCTATTCTCTTCATGGGAGTGAGGACTAAGCATGCTTGCATATTTGTGAGACACACATATTCTTCCATGGGCAAACTTGTACCTCCTTTTTTATTCATGGATAGGTTTTAATGGAGAATAGAGAAATGATGCTCAAATTCTTATTTCGTTTTTGGATACGGCGAGCCCATTTTCATCTTATGTACAACACACCTCCTCGGTAATACACTACATAAATCCTCTCTCAAAATGGCAGCATCATCAAAAATTAACAGGTATAGTACAAAGCAAACAATATTGGAACTACATAAGCATGTTGATTATTCACATGAACAGGTTTTTGGTATTTACAGAAAGCATTGACTGATGCAGCTCGCTGGCCCCATGAGCACTATGTTAAATCATTAAAGTGCAAGAAGTCTTTATTTGTATTGCAGTAATATTCTGTATCCCCATCCCAGAACCCCAGTGTGCTCAGCACTTACAAACAACCACCAAATCACGACTTGTATTAGAGAATTAATTTTTTTCTTTTAAGAACTAATTTAATCTTTGACAACTCCTCATTTTTCTACCTATTTTCAATTATTTTGAAGCAC